GATAATTTCATTAAACTAGGCATTAAATAATGATGGGCTTTTTGCTTAGAAATATCCAACATATAAGGCTCTTCACACCGTTGTCCCCTGATATTTTTTGGAACCTCAATAATAAAGTTATTAAAAATACTGAATTGCTACTTAATACATTAGAAATACTGGATTGCTACTTAGTTATTGACTAAGTATAGGACAAATGCTTGATAAAGTGAAGGGTCATCAGAAAAGAAGAAGATTGTCTATGAGATGGATTAACACAGTGGCTGCAACGATGGGCTCAACATAGCAAGACTGTGAGGAAGACTCAGGACCAGGCAGTGTTTCGTTCTGTTGTACATGGGGTTGCTGTGAGTCGGAACCGACTGAGCGGCACCTAACAACAACACAACACAGGTCAAAAAGAAGCAATAGAACAGGGGCATGTATATTACAGGGAGCCGGCCCACTTGCACTGAAATGATTCTTAAGCAACAAAGTTAATGTCAGTTCACTCCTGGGAGTGAATGCTTGTTGTTTTCTGAAACAAAAGAAGATTATTTCTAGAATATAAGTATCCCAATTTACACATCATTTAAGCATTAATACATGTTGTATAACAAAGTTACTAGTTTTTTTTTTAATAGCACATTAATATCATTTTATATCAGAGGGTCATATGCTGACAAGTACAGAAATAAAGTCTGTGTTCGCAGGGATGTGGTTGTTACAAAAATGCATATAAAGGCTCAAGGAAATCCTGGTTTACACTTTAGTGAAGCCATAATCTTTAATTTTCAGAAAGCTGCAATATGCTTAGCACCACTGTGTGGAGTTGAACTTTCAAAAATATCTTTATGAATGTTTTGAACGAACTCACCACCACCACCATCTTCATACACAGACCAGTTTGAACTGTCAAATTGTGATTGACCTAAGAAGCTTGTGTGTGTGTGTGTATGTGTTTAAATGCTTGGATTGGAAAGTAGGTAAATTGACTTTATTAACATGACAATTAAGTGGCATATTTATTAGTTTAATTAAGGGGTTATTTCTGAATGATTAGCCTATTTAAATACTTTTTTAAAAAAAAAAAACCTAAGTGGAAATAAGAAAAAGTAAATTCTAGTTCTGGTGCTGACATTTAATTAACTAGCATTTATCAGTTACTGACTTCTGGTATTTTACTGGGCAGTGATACTAGTTGTAATGTGGAACATGTCACAAACTGTATTGCTCATCTACAAAACAACAGTTAAAAATGGCTTTACCTACCTCATTAAATTGTTTTATTAAAAAAATCAGAAATGAATGCAAAACTTTTGAGAACCTAAATGTGCTAGACAGGTCGTTATTAGTGGGATATTAAAAAATAGATCCAGGTTCTTATTGTTGCTGTTTACTCTAGAACTTATCAGGAATATTTTGCTCATAAATAAAAATGTCAACTTTTCATTAGAGTGAAATTCCTAATATATTGGAATTGTGAAATTTAGGTAGTCAACTGTGCTGTACAGAAAGAGATATGGAGTAAGAAAACCTAAGTTTAAGATTCAGCTCTTTCCTGTGCTAGCTAAATAAACCTGCTCAAATCATTTAACCTCTTGAGATTTATTTACTCATTTGAAACTGAAATATACTTATTTCACAAGAAACATTTTATGATGAATAAATGTGATAACACATAGTTACTTTGTGAACTATAAGTTGTCATAAAAATTTAAGATGATAGCAATATCAGTAACTTTAAAATATATTTTTTTAAGTGACTGAACAATATCTTGACAAGCCTTGTTAACATTTAAATTGGAACAAACTGACAGTCTTTATGTCTGAACGTATTCTGTTTTATTTTAAAATTCTAAATTTCCAATAGATGTGCTACACAAAAGATGGAGCATTGTATCTTCACCAGAAAGAGAGATCACCTTGGTGAACCTGAAAAAAGATGCAAAGTATGACTTGGGTAAGTCACTGTGAGATTCTTAAAGGTCTGTGAGAATTCCAAGAGAAGAAGGGTATAGCATAGACTTTGGCATTGAGACCAGCCCACTTCTGATCAAGATACTGTTGCACATGCACAACTTCATCACTCTACCTGACCCCTCCGGAAACTCCAGGGAAATGCCTAAAAGCAATAACTTCACACTGACTAAATTTAACAGATGGTTCCACCTCACAGGAGTTCCCCTTCAATCATATTTCCTATAGGGACTCTCCACACTCCTGTGTTTCAAGCAGGCTAGTCCTTAGTCATTGAAAGCACCGGTATCATGGAGATCTTATTAAAATGTGCTACTTCATAGGATTTCAAATTATTGGTGGGGAGAAGATGGGAAGACTGGATCTAGGTGTATTTATCAGCTCAATTACCCCCGGAGGACCAGCTGACTTGGATGGATGCTTAAAGCCAGGTACTTGACATTTTGAAATTTTCCTAAGTGCTTACCAAAAGGCATGAATTTGCACAGGTGGCAAAAGCAGAACTTAGGAACAAGCCAAAACTGAGGGGTGTGACGTCTCTAAGAGTTAGCACGCGTTTTTCTTTGTTGTTGGATATACTGGATTGTTGAGAGTCACTTGATCTCTTTGTACAGGGGACCGTTTGATATCTGTGAATAGTGTGAGTCTGGAGGGGGTCAGCCACCATGCTGCAAATGAGATTTTGCAAAACGCACCTGAAGATGTGACACTTGTTATCTCTCAGCCAAAAGAAAAAATATCCAAAGGTAAAGTTGTGAATGTTTCTTAGTTAGTGTATTCTAGTTCACTTTTCACAACAGCTTTAATATATTGGCCCAATAAACTGGATTTAGGTTTCTTATTTCCTTTCTGGCAATTTGATATGTATAGTTCTTGGTGCTTTAATTTTGTCCATCAGTATAACTTTTTCATTCGTCATTTCCAAGTTTTCTGTCTCATTGCTCTTTAGTGACATATGCAGAAAAACAGTTTCATTGTGCAAAGTTGATGTCACTGGAATAAATTTTGCGCATTTAGTGTGTTCCAGCCCTTTTTAGATCAAGTCAGAAATGGAATTCTTTCTATAAAGTCCTATACTGAAGCAGATTACAAAAAGGAAAAAATAAACAACAAACCAGAAATTCAAAAACAAGACCATACCATTTTGTCTCTTAATCCCTGCCATTAGCATGTCGTAGGAGGAAGGCACTTGACAGAGATCAGAAGATCGGGGTTTGAGCCTTGCTTGTGCTACATATTAGCTATATGACTTAAGTGTTCTTGCATCCCGGTTTTTTGTTTGTTTGTTTGTTTTTAAAGGGAAAACAGTGATCTCTGCTTTCTCCTGTCTGCCTTGCCGAGTTCTGATGAGTGTCAAGTGATGGGGCAGTGTTGATGAAAGAAGTACACCCAGTGTGTGTGCAGCAGTACAGCATCATGGGCAATAGGGAGGGCTCCAGAATCAGGCTATCTAGGGTCAAATTCTGTCTCCTTGACCACTTAAAACTCTGTATCTTGAGCAAATCACCTGAGCTTTCTAAGCTTCACTGTTCATATATCAAATGGTGAATATAAAAATGCGTATCTTATAGATTATGAAAATTAAAAGAAATAATGCATGTAAAGAATTATCACATTGCCTGACACATATTATGCACTTAAATGTAAGTTTTAGCTGTCTTCATTAGTAGTATTATTTTTAAACACTGAAGTGCTAGATATATGTAAGGTACTTTCATTCCAAAGATACTGGGAAGTATTTAAAAGAACTAGTAAAAATTTAGCTGAAAAACATGTTTAGATAATGAATTTTAGGCGTAACTTTAGTTACAATAAATTAGAGGACTAAAAACACGTCCACATCTCATTTCGTTCAGTGGTTTGACATTGTAAAACTTTCTTAAACTTTGCACATATGAATCCTAGGATATTGCAACAGTTTATAAGTTTTACATAGATAAGCCATTTTTACTGTGGTTTTTGTAATTTACTAAATATTTTTTATATATATACATGTTGCTGTTATTAGGTGCCGTCGAAGTCGGTTCTGAGTCACAGCGACACTATGCACAACAGAACGAAACACTGCCCAGTCTGGCGCCATCCTTGTGATCTTGTTATGCTTGAGCCCATTGTTGCAGCCACTGTCTCAGTCCACCTCGTTGATGATTTCCTCTCTTTCACTGACCTCCTACTTTACCAGGCATGATGTCCTTCTCTAGGGAGTGATCCCTCCTGATAACATGTCCAAAGTATGTGAGATGAAGTCTCACCATCCTTGCCTCTAAGGAGCATTCTGACTGTACTTCTTCAAGACAGATTTGTTCATTCTTTTGGCAGTCCGTGGTATATTCAATATTCTTCACCAACACCATAATTCAAAGGCATCAGTTTTTCTTTGGTCTTCCTAACTCATTGTCCAATACACACACACACACACACACACACACACACTCTCACACTATAATATTTTAAATGCTTGTTTACTGTGAACAAACACAATAGATAGAAGGGAAATAAAAGATACCACCACTGCACACAAGAACCTTACTATCTAATTGTAGTGTTGTTATCTTAGGCAGAGGAAGACGACTACGGTTGAAAATGTTATAGCTTATCTCTGAGTTGCTGGCAGTCAAGACCCCCATGTTCCCCCCCAAAAAAAGTGAATTATTCAGTTTCATTATACACCGTTATTTTAGTTAAAGGAGCATCTAAATGCAAAAGAAACTCATTTTCTTTTGAGCAAAGCTCTAAGGGACTTCCACCTTAATTTTGTTTTTAATAAGTATTTTCTAGAAAATTCATTCATTGGTTCAATGTATATTTATTGAGTGCCTGTATGGTATAAGACACAGAACCTCCACCCTCGTGGAGCATGTTCTTTATCAGGGGAGATAAGTATTGGATATCTATCTAGACAAATAAGGTTTTAGTTACAGCTATGATAAGTGTTGAAGCCCTGGTGTTAGAAAGAAGTCCAGGGTGCCAAGAGAACATATAAAATGGGAACTTTACCTTGTATGGGGATCAGAGAAGGCTTTTCATCCCTGCAGAGAGCTTCATGTGATTATTTTTTGGTATCCATTCTCAATAAAAGTTGAAAGCTTAATGTTTAAAGTATAGTTCTGGTTAGGAAATCAGAAAAGTCTCAAAAGAGTCTGATATGAAATGGTCTTAACCCATTGCCATTGAGTCAGTTGCAACTCATAGCGACCCTATAGGACAGAGTAGAACTGCTCTATAGAGTTTCCAAGGGGCAGCTGGTGGATTTGAACTGCCGACCTTTTGGTTAGCAGCCAAGCTCTTAACCACTGCACCACCAGGGCTCTGAAATGGTCTTTGAGAATGGAAATGAGGGGCTTGTGTGAAGGAGGTACACATTTTTGTAGGAGTTGCCGTAAAAACCAAAGTAGGGAGCAGAATCCAACATTTACTGGGTCCCTGCTATGCTTCCAGGCCCTGGGTCCAGTGCTTCGTATCTGTTATCATGTGTGAACTCTCCCAACATTCTTCAGAGAAAATTGTACATGTGTAGAAGCACATAGGTGTGTCACTAATTTGTTATTCTCATTGATGGATTTTAATTTTTAGTGCCTTCCACTCCTGTGCATCTTGCCAATGGAATGAAAAACTACCTGAAGAAACCTTCCTACCTGCAAGATGGTACTATAGATTCTTCTTCCGAAGATCGTCACTGGCCACATGGTACCCTGAGGCACATCTCAGACAGCTCATTTGGGCTGCCTGGAGGCCTGCGGGAAGGAAGCCTGAGTTCTCAAGATTCCAGAACTGAGAGTGCCAGCTTGTCCCAGAGCCAAGTAAATGGCTTCCTTGCCAGCCATGGAGGTGACCGAACCTGGAAGGAATCACAGCATGGCAGCCCTTCCTCATCTGTAATATCCAAAGCTTCTGAGAAAAAGAGAATTTCCATTGACAGTAGCCGAAGCACAGCTAAAAAACCAGGCATTTCTGATGTGACAGATTACTCCGATCGTGGCGATTCAGACATGGATGAAGCTACCTATTCTAGCAGTCAGGATCATCAGACATCAAAAAAGGCATAGTGAATTTTAATCTTTTTTTTTTTTTCATTTAACAAAACAAGCAACAACAAAAATATTACAGGGCAGAATAATCTATTATAAACTATTCACATATTCTGGGAAGGAGAAATAGTTTTATACCTTCTGCTGCTAACCGCTGCTGCATTTGATGCTAACTTTCAGAGAAATTAGAAGCTTTAAATACTAACTCTGAAATAGCTTTTATTCTGGGAATTTGCTACCTGATAACACGGAGAGAGTAATCAGATTATGATTGTTTTCTTACAAGTTGTTTTTCTCCTGAATATTTAATGTTTATGTTAATAAGAGAACTTAAATATCTAAAAAACAAATTGTTCCTAATAGTTCCTATGATGGACAGTTGACTTTACTATTGATAGCCTAAAATCTTCTGAAGTTCTGAATTAATAATTAAGAACATTGAAAAGTTTCTGAGAAATGTTTCCCTAGAAATGATGTAAATTTAAATTCACATTCACAAGCAGTTTTAGAAAGGAACTTTATGTCCGTTATTCACTGAAAACTCAATATTACTGACGAGAGGGTTATACCCTTATAATTGGGGTTTAGCTTCTGTGTATAGTTCAGTCAGATGGCAGTCACTTTTCAGCTTTGTTGACATAAAGCACAGGTACTATTAAGAAAGAAAACTTTGCATTTTTTATTTTACTGTTCATATATAAATTCTATATCTCAAATTTGAAAAGTACAAGGGCTTTTTCGTATGATAAACTGAGTTAAAGATTCTTAAGACAATCTTACATTTGCATTATCTATGTTTATGTCAGATTTGTAAACATAAGCAGAGTAAACATGAAGCCTACTCATCTTAGAGACCAAGGTGATAACTACTGTTGTGAGCCATGCAGTCGATTCCGACTCATAGTGACCCTACATGACAGAGTAGAGCTGCCTCATAGAATTTCTGAGGCTGTAATCTTTAAGCGAGCAGATTGTGCCCCATTTTTCTCCCACAGTGGGTTCAAACCTATGACCTTTCAGTTAGCAACCAAGGACTTTAAACATTGTGCCAGCATAGCTCCTTAAGGTGATAGCTACCACTTGATAAATACTGATTTTTAAGGGAAATGGAAGTTCTTTCCAAATTTGGGACTATAAAAAGCACTGGGTAAGGATTATATAACAGCCAGGTTTGAATTGAGTTCCAGGCTTCTCTCTGCTATAGCTAGCTGTTTGACCTGTAGCAAGCCCTTTTATTTCTGGGCCTTAGTTTCCTCAACCATAAAATATGAAGACCTTGAACTAGATGTTCTCTAATTCACTCTAGCCTTAATATCTTATTATTTTTTTATTTTTCCAAAAATATACTGACCTTCCAATAATAATTCATTTTGACTCTAACAAGAAATCCTTTTTTTCTTCTTCTTTGTTAAGGAAACTTCCTCCTCAATGAATACATCCAACAAAATGAATTTAAAAATTTTTTCTTCATCACCTCCTAAACCTGGAGATATCTTTGAGGTTGAGCTGACTAAAAATGATAACAGCTTGGGGATAAGTGTCACGGTACTGTTTGACAAGGTTTTCAAATGTTTTCTCGATTTCCAGAAGCCTCTTGTATGCCAACTTATTAATTGAATCATTTTGCTTCAAAAGGGACACTTGTCAAATATTTCCAAAATTTAAAAATTGAATCATATCTTAACACTTTTTTTAATTGAGTGTGTTAATTCAGTTTTTCTTGTGGTTCAAAAAAATTAGACAAATGTTTTTTCCCGAAGACTTCATACTTCTTTAATCTGATTATAAAACTTGTAAAATGCAAAGTTAATATTTATGCTTCCTGTATACTTAGTAGCTTCTGCATGAGCATGGAATAATGAAATGATACATCTTCCACTTACACCATGAATAATGAAAGATAATATACATTTATATGCCCTTTATTTCTTCATAATATGTATCTTGTAAACATGTTTAGGATCTTAAAATTTGAGGTACCCTAGGAATATATGTAGTTTTAAGGTGGTTAAAAATGAGCATAGACTATTGATAAAATAACTTTTATGAATGAAGATACTAGACCCTGAATTGTAATGTTATTATATATCACATTTGAAGGATGTGGATAGTTATAAAAAGCCATTTGGAAATACGGTTTATTATGGTTGCCATCAAGTCAATTCCAACTCATAGCGACCCCATGTGTGAAAAGTAGAACTACTCCATAGGGTTTTTAAGACTCTAATCTATTGGAAGCAGATCGTCAGGCCTTTCTTATATGGTGCCACTGGGTGGGTTCAAACCACCAATCTTTCAGCTAGTAGTCAAGTGCTTAACTCTTTGCATGACGCAGTGTTAACTTGTAATATATTGAGATCAAAAAGAAAAACTGACTTTCTAGCACATTTTAAAATACTGTAACCCTTTCCTTTTGCCCTTAATTTCTTTAGATTTTTATTTCTTCCTGTTGTGAAGGGAAATAAGTACTACATGTCCACAGTAGGTAGAAACTCCACTCATTAGATCTGATCTGCACTATAAATTAACTTCTCTACCAAAGCCTTTTGAAATGAAAGAAAACTTCTTTTTCTTTGATTTATGGAATTTGCTTTCAGATTAGTAAATATGATCGGAAATATATTATTTCATATACTTTTTTGTTCTGATAGTTGTCAAGTTAATTTTGCATGGGTAGATTTTGCTTTCTGCTTGCTTATAATGCATGATGTAGACTTAACAAAAGAAAAGCAATTCCTCACATAGTCAAAATCTAGCATGTTGTAATCTTTTTTTAATTGAATGGAGTTTTACTAAAAAGAAACTGGTTTGATATTTGAAAAGATTAGCTAGAAATGTTCTTGGATTTTGAAGTAATTGCATATGCTGACTTGATGCTGCTACTTTGGCTGATGACCTGAATGCTTTCTAGGTCTCAGATTTGAAAGAGGATGACTGAATTTTTTCATATTAAGAAAATTTTATTTGTCTTTTTCTGCTTAGGGAGGTGTGAATACCAGTGTCAGGCATGGTGGCATTTATGTGAAAGCTGTTATTCCTAACGGAGCAGCAGAGTCTGATGGTAGAATACACAAAGGTATAGTGTTTATGTATGTGTAGGAGTTATGTGTGTGGATATCACTTCAACAAATAGATAAGAAATTAGAGAGGTGATCTAGGTCTTCAATTTATAATATGAAATAACTTTATTATTTCTTTCTAGCTTATATTCTGGTATCAGAAAGTAACTAGACAGTATTTTCATTAATGCGTTGCACTTGCTCAGAAGCACATTGCCAGAGAATAGAGGAGGGAGATACCCTTGTAACATCCATGACATGTACATTTCTAATAGGAACTAAGTAGGGACTTCTCTCCAATCTGTCTACAGTTGTAGTTCAATTTATCTTTTCTAGTGATTTAAATTGATTTTCATAAGGATATTTCCCTAAAATTAGCCATAGATGGGAGAAAGAATTTAAATAACATATTAAATAAAGAACTGTGATATTATTTTGTCCAGATTTTGTCTTTCCTCAAACAAGATAATACAAAGTAAGCCCACAAGGTGTGAAAGAGCTTGTAGAATTTTTGTTATTTTATTTTTTGTTTCTTTATGAATTATATCAAGGTGATCGTGTGCTAGCTGTCAATGGAGTTAGTCTGGAAGGAGCTACCCATAAGCAAGCTGTGGAAACACTGAGAAATACAGGACAGGTAATAGATCATTATACCAACCTTTCAAAATAACCTAGAAAGACATAATAATATGTGAATAATATCAGTCTCACTGAGATCTCTAGATTTGTTAATCAGGAAACCAAGCCGGATTCATGTAACACTCTGAGTTTTTTCCCTCCAAATTGAAGAGCAAATATTATGACAAGAGGTTTTGACTGAAGAAGCTGATTTTTTATATCTCATTGGGTGGGGGGTGGGATCAACATTACATTTTTTAATTATTTCATAAACATTTACTATTTACTAGTGATTTTTATTCCTAGTCATTTTTTAGCCTCAATGCTAAATTCATTTTAGGAAGTTTGCCAAATTATTTATAATGGTTTTATATTCTAGTATATAGGCGATTCTTTCCTAGTATCCAAATCTTACATAACATGGTTATGTTAATTTTGTAATAGACTTTTTCTTTTTAATCAGTGATCTTTTTATACAGATGGTAATAAAAGCTTGATTTTGAAAATTTTAATCGCTTGCTTTTTGTCCCATTTTTTTCTCCTTCTACCTATGTTGTGGTAGGCCAGGTAGTTACTTTAAATGATTTTATACCATCAACCACACAAAGTCCTGAAAAGTTATCTGTTTTCTTATAATTCATCTTAATTAACTTTTCCAGGTGGTCCATCTGTTGTTAGAAAAGGGACAGTCTCTACCATCCAAAGAACATGTCCCTGTAACCCCACAGTGCACCCTTCCGGAGCCGGATGCCCAAGGTCAAGCCGAAGAAAAAATGGTGAAGAAAACAACTCATGTCAAAGACTACAGCTTTGTCACTGAAGGTCAGACCTTGGGAGATTGTATCATCATCTCACATTGAAATTATCCCTGGCTTATTCAAAATTTTATTTTTACACATTAGATCACAATTCATGCCCTAGTCTCTTTAATTATTCTTGTCAACTGTAAATAATAATCTGAATCAGCACAGTACTGAATATAAAAAGATACATTCTTCTATTAGCAGCTCTTAGAGTCTGAAAGATTCCAGATAATGAATGTATGCATGGAGCAGATTATGATAATCTTATCCTGCTTAAATAGTGATAAAGTTCAAAGTGAAATTTGGTAAGGGAAAAAAATAGTATAAATACCCAGAAGAATGACTTCAAACTCATGTGAAACCTAGACCCGTAAGTTTTCTGTGTTTCTGTTTAATTTTATAGATGTGGGAAGGTAACTCTGGGCAGAAATTCACATAATAGTTCCCAGATATTGGTTCTTTTTTTAAAACTATTCCAGTCTTTGGATCTATCACTGATCAGTAGCGAAGTAAGAAAATTAAGAAGGATTTAGCAGTGAATTTTTCTTAAGGCCGAATGTATTCATATTACAGGACTACCTTTTATTCTGAGATTGTCTTCCTTTTAATGGGTTAAAATGTCCTTTACTTTATAAATCATGGTAATGGTATACAGTCACTGTTTTGTTTTTTGTTTGTGCAAGTCACTACTTGATCAAACAAATGTTAGCAACTGTGAATGTATCCCAAAAATAAGGAGTTAAAAATAATCCAGCCTATACTATTTTTCCTGATTATTATTAAAATTAAGTTAACCTACTCACTTTATCACCACCATCACTACCCTTTATTCTTTATTTTTTCCACCACTCTTTCTTTAAAAATGTTTTTAATTTTTTTTTCTTGTTATTGTTTTTACTTATTTTTTTTTTTTTTTTTTGCTGACAAGGAGTTTATCAGAATGCTATTGTCATTTATCTGGATTAACAGTATACCTTATCAAAGCATTAAAAGGTCAACCTACCTTCCATAGCTTTCTCTATAGCCTCCCCGTAGCTCCTTTCACCACAATAAAAATTAAATTAGAGAAAAAAAGACTATATAATAACAGAGAAGAAAGGGAAAAATCAAGTAAAGAAGAAGTATGAGAGAAATTCAGGAATATAATGGGAGAGAGATGGGTAAGAAGAGGAGGCTATGGGAAACAAGTTGACATTTCAATGCTTTGGTGAGGTGCAGTGTTAATCCGGATAAATGGCAATAGCATCCTGATAAAATTGTGGTAAAATATATGTAACAAAACATTTCAACAATTTTAACATGTACAATTCGGTGACATTAATTGCATTCACTGTGTTGTGCAACAATCACCACTATCCATTTCCAATTTTTTTTTTAATCACCCTTAATAAAATCTCTGCAACCCTCAAGCAATACCCACCCCCTTTTCCTTCTCCCATCCACCCTTGGTATCCACCAGTGAACTCTGGTCTCTGTGTATTTGCCTATTCTACATATTTCATATAAGTGAGATCATATAATATTTGTCTTTTTGTGTCTGACTTATTTATTTCCTTATTAGTCTTGTTTCTAGATGTTCTGTCCATTATTCAAAATGGTGTATTGAAATCTCCAACTATTATTGTAGAACTATTTCTCCCTTCAATTCTGTCTGTGTTTGCTTTATATATTTTGGGGCTCTCATGTTAGGTGCATGTCTATTTATGATTGGTATATCTTCTTGAAGAATTGACCTTTCTATCATTATGTAATGCCCCTCTTTGTCTCTTATAATCGATTTTGACTTAAACTCTATTTTATCTGATATTAAAATCTCTATCCTGGCTCTTTTTTGGTTACTATGTACATGAAATTTTTTTTCCATCCTTTTACTTTCAACCTATTTGTGTCTTTGGGCCTAAGATGTGTCTCTTGTGGACAGCATGTAGTTGTGTCATGTTTTTTTAATCCATTCTGCTACTCTCTGCCTTTTGATTAGAGTGTTTAGTTTATCTACATTCCTGGGAATTACTGATAAAGAAAAACTTAACTTCTGCCATTTTGTTATTTGTTTTTTGTGTGTTTTATACCTTCCTTGGAGCCCTGGTGGCATCGTGCTTAAGAGCTCAGCTGCTAATCAAAAGATCAGCAGTTCAAATCCACCAGCCGCTCCTTGGAAACCCTATGGGGCAGTTCTGCTCTGTCCCGTAGGGTTGCTATGAGTTGGAACCGACTCGACGGCACCTAACAACAAACAACAATACCTTCTTTGTCCCCTCATTTCCTTCAGTACTACCAACATTTGTATTTTGTTGATTTTTTTGTAGTGAACCATTTTAATTCTCTTCTACTTTCCTTTTGTGTATATTTATTAGATATTTTCTTTGTGGTTACCATGAGGATCACATTTAATGTCTTACATTTATAACAACCTGCTTTAAATTTATACCAACTTAATTTCAGTAACATACAAAAGGCTCTATTCCTGTACCACTCCTCCCTCTCCCCTTTTGTTGTTGTTATCCCTTATTACATCTTTATATATCAGGTGCTCTGTATCATAAATGTATGCTTATTATTATTATTTTAGTTTGCGTTTGTCATTATAAAGCATGAAGGGCATAACAACTAGAATTACCAATCAGAATACCTTAAAACAGGACCTTAGACTTGTCCGTGAAATTACCTTTAATGAAGATCTTTTTCTTTTTCCCCTCTGTATAGCTTTGAGTTACCGTCTAGTGTCCTTTCCTTTTCGTCTGACGAACTCCCTTTAGAATTTCTTTTAAGACAGGTCTAGTGGTAGCAGACTTTCTCAGCTTTTGTTTATCTGAGAATTTCTTAATTTTACCCTCATTTTTGAAGGGAGCTTTTGCTGGTATTGCTGTTTGACACTTGTTTCTTTCAGCACTTTAAATATGTCATTCCACTGTCTTCTGACCTCCAATATTCCTGAAGAGAAATCAGCATTTAGTCTTATTGAGGATCTCTTTTTATGTGACATTTTGTTTCTCTTTTGCTGCTTTCAGGATTCTCTCTGTATCTTTGGTTTTTGAAAGCTTGATTATATTGTGTCTTGGTGTGGATCTCTTTAGGTATATTCTACTTAGAGTTTGTTGAGCTTCTTGGATTTCTACATTTATGTCCTTCATCAGATTAGGAAAGTTTTCTGCCATTATGTTTTCAAATATTCTTTCTCTCCCTTTCTCATCTTTTTCTGGGAGTCCCATGATAAATTTTTTAGTTCCTTTGTTGGTGTCCCACAATTCCATTAGGTTTTTCTTCATTTTCTTTATCTTTTTCTCCTATTACTGTTCAGTCTCAATAATTTTAATTGCCTTATCCTCTAATTCGCTGATTCTTTCTTCTGCCATCTCAAAACTGTTGTTAAGACCCTTCTAATGAATTTTTTACTTCATTTATCGTATATTTTAGCTCCAGTGTTTCTGTTTAATTCTCTTTTATAGTTTCTGTCTCTTTATTGGAAACCCTGGTGGCATAGTGATTAAGAGCTACAGCTGCTAACCAAAAGGTTGGCAGCTCAAATGCACCAGGTGCCCCTTGGAAACCCTATGGGGCAGTTCTACTCTGTCTTATAGGGTCACTATGAGTTGGAATCGACTTGACAACAATGGGATGGGATCTCTTTATTGAAATTTTCATTTTGTTCCTGCATCGTTTTCTTGATTTCCTGTAGTTCATTGTCTGTTTTTTTGTTTAGTTCTTTGAGCATGTTTAATATTGTTGTTTTAAAGTTTTCTAATTTGTCCATTATTCAGACTTCCATAGGAATCATTTCTGTCTCTTCACATTGTTCTTTCGAGTGGGCCATCCTTTCCTTTTCTTTGTATGCCTTGTGATTTTTGTTGTGGTTGTTTTCGAAACTGGAACATGTTAATGTGCTAATTCTGGAACACATTCTTTCCCTTTCCCAGGGATTGCAGTTATTCATTGATCTATCTGTTTCTTTACCTATAATTTTTGAAGACTGTAATAGTTTGTCTGCTCAGCAACCTCCCCTGATTACTTTTACAAAGACTGCCTTCCAAAACATGGTGTGAACTCTGAGGATTCCTTTCTGAAGCCCATGGCCAGCTAGTGTTTGAAAGGAGATACTTTGCACTTCAGGGAAGGAACAAACAACAAAAAGCAGAAAATAAATACGTGATTTTTCCCACTCCTCAGGGATTGCTGCTGTTCCTTAATTAAAGCTGTAGTCAAATTTTTGTTTAGTGACTTTTCCAAGCTAAATTTGTAAAGTATGTGTTCCAGTTCTCTTATTTTTGCAATCAGTCAGTAGCTTGATAGATTTCACCAGAGGGCTCTCTAGCCCTTTGAATCTGCCAGCAGGGTGAAGCTATTTCTAAGACAGGTCCAAAACCACTCCCAGTGGTCTGCATCCATCCCTCAAGGCACTATCAGACCAACCCAACTGTACAGACTGTGTAACTCAAAATTCTTAGAGAATTGCCCACCCTGGTACCCTAGTCTAGGAACACAGACCACTAACTCCACGAGCACACAGGGGCTGAGGAATGGGGCTGGTGGCTGCTGGTGCATGTGGTTCACATAGGAAAGGTCAGCAGTTTGTCCCTTCATCAGGCACTCCCCTGGTTGAACTAAGTGTCTCACCCAGTTCCTCAGTTTCAAAATAGTTGATTTCAATTGCTCTTTCCAGTGCTATTGTTATATAGGTAGAGGGTTGGACTTCTAGAACTCCTGACACCGTCATTTTGCATAGTTACACACTGCTACTGAAAGTTCAAAATTCTGTGAGACATTTTCACTCCAGCCTTAGAAGCCAAGTCTGTGCTTCAGTATGCTTCAAACACACTAATCAGTCCTGTTTGATTAAGTGTGGGTGGCACACCTGTGGGCTTTGTTCTTCACCCCTCAGTCCTTCAAGCAGCCCCCAGACAGGTATGAAAAGACAGACGCAACAGTCTGCTGCCTAAAGCAAAGACTATTCCACGCACTTCCAAGCCAGAGAGTGTGCCCCTGTCTGGGAATGCAGGTCACAGTTCTTCACCACAGCAGCAGCCTTTTCCACAATGCCCACTGCCATGAAGGTAGGGGGAGGTGTCTGCAGTAAAAGAGAAAAAAGAAAATATTCCTACCCTTTGAGAGCAGGCTTTTTCTTAGTTCAGTGTTTGTTCAGATGCTGTAATTCTTTGATTGATTTCCAGAGTTCTGAGATCATAAATTCCCCTATATTGGCTTGGTGTTTTCTGTTTTTGTTGTGGAGAGACAAGAGCATGTAGCTGCTTACACTGCCATCTTGCCTCCCTCTTAAAACACATGGGATAGAAGCATAATTCCATTTTTAGAACCCTGCTTTTAGAACCCCTTTTATGTCTATGTGGCTTAGTTCCTTAAGTTTTATTAATTTAATGATGATGTTGTTGTGTGCCATCTAGTGGATTCTGACTTAATTTAGTGATAAAACCAAATCAAACCCACTGCCATCAGGTCAGTGCTGGCTCATAGTAACCCTATAGGACAGAGTACAGCTGTCCCATAGGGTTTCCAAGGCTGTAATTTTTGTGGAAGCAGAAGCCGACTGCCACATCTTTCTCCCACGGAACGGCTGGTGAGTTCGAACTGGCAACCTTTTGGTTAGCAGCTGAGTGCTTTAACCACTGTGCCCTCAGGGCTCCTTCAGTTTAGTGATAGAGAGTGTGAAATAAGGCTTAAATATAGTATAAGCATTCATAGCAATAAATGGGTAAATATTGTGGAACAGTGGGGTTTTTTTTAATCCATCTGAAAGTATACATGTGTGTATGTCCATATTTATATATAGCATGTTAAGAATATTTAATTTTTTACATCTTTTTTCTCCAGAAAATACATTTGAGGTAAAATTGTTTAAAAATAGCTCAGGCCTAGGATTCAGTTTTTCACGAGAAGATAATCTTATACCTGAGCAAATGAATACCAGCATAGTAAGGGTTAAAAAGCTCTTCCCCGGACAACCAGCAGCAGAAAGTGGAAAAATTGATGTGGGAGATGTTATCTTGAAAGTGAATGGAGTCTCTTTGAAAGGACTGCCTCAGCAGGTGAGCACCACCTAGCTTGTAGAGTGTAACATTTTTAATGATGAGACCGATTGGCCTTTCAGGACAATTTCATAATTCTGATTTAACTGTATCTTGATTTTCATTTATCATACCCACAGGAAGTCGTATCCACTCTTAGGGGAACATCTCCAGAAGTATCCTTGCTTCTTTGCCGACCTCCACTCGGTGTGCTACCTGAAATTAATACTGCTCTTTTGGTGAGACCTATGAGATACACCTTATATTTTTAGAGAATATTAATTTAGAGATTAACTAATCAGCTGTAGTAATTTCATCATTGATTGATCTCCTGAGCTTTGTACCTAGTTATGTCTTAAGCTAAGAGTGTTATCTTGTGTCACTTAGCCTCTCTGATTGCTTTCTATATTTGTAATAAATTCACTTTCTGTTCTATACCTTCCAATTCTAGAATTCTAGAATTTTAGGATTTCAGGAATTTCTTTTCTAAGTATAAATGGAAAAGGGTATAAAATAATGGCTTCGAAACAGAACAAAACACTTTTTGTCTATTTCTTCATTGAACCAAACTTAGAAAACTAAATTTTTATTCTAAACTAGTTCAGACAAAAATGAAGGTTATTTAAGATTTGTAGTCTTTTTTTTTAACACTAAAAATCACAGAGAATGGGATATGTTTGTCCATTTCCTTTTCTTAGGTCAAGAAATAGCGACAGGATCAAAAATGCATTTTATTTATAAATTGCATACTGATAGGTAGGAGTCCGTACAGAGATGAATAACAGTGTAATTGAAGAAAGACTGCCTTTGGGCTGTCTAGTTAGCATAGTGCTCCACTACCAGTAAGTGGTGACTCCTGGGTATGAACAGAGGCCATAAAAGAAATATTAATAGGAAAGTAACATTTCTCTAAGATACATTATAAATAGCATTTTAAAAGACTACATTGATTTTTGGCACCAGGCAGGAAGAATTGAGTGGAACCCTTTTGGTGAGTGTATAAATTGATACAGTCTTTCTGGAAAGCAATTTGGAAATATTTAACAAGACATATAAAAATGCTGTATGTTTTGATAGTATAGAAAATTACAAGGAAATAACAGAAACTCAGGTGAAAATTTGCATACAAAGTTCTAGGTTTCTATTAATAGTGAAAGCTAAAAATGACTTCCGTATCCAGTAAAAGGAAAATACTAAAATAAATTAAAGGTATATCCATGTGTAGGACTATTATACCGTTACTAAAATTGTTGTTTTCAAAGCACATTTAAGGACCTCAGAAAAATACTGATGATAGAAGCCTTAAATTTTAAACGCAGGATAAAAAGTACAATATATAATATAACTCTAATTCTGATTTAAAGTTTAAGTTGCAAACTATTAACAGTTGTCATTTTTATATATATATATTTTTATTCTGTAATGAGCATAAATTACTTTTATAATCTGAAAATTAATTGAATATATTAATAGAAAGTACCATTGTTCAACATGTTCATTTTCAATTAAGTGTTTCTAAAATTAATATGTTACACTGTTGTCTTTTTAAATGTCTCCATTATAGACCCCACTACACTCTCCAGCACAAGTACTTCCAAACAGCAGTAAAGACCTTTCTCAACCATCATGTGTGGAGCAAGGCACCAGCTCAGATGAAAATGAAATGTCTGACAAAAGCAAGAAACAATGCAAATCCCCATCCAGAAGAGACAGTTATAGTGACAGCAGTGGGAGTGGAGAAGATGATTTAGTGAAAGCTCCAACAAAGATGTCAAGTATGAGCTGGAGTTCCGCCTTGCGTCAGACTCTAAGCAACATAGTATCACAGGCACAGGGTCACCATGAAGCGTCCAGGAGTCACGAAGATGCCATTTGTACCATGTTTTACTATCCTCAGGAAATACCCAATAAACAGGAACTTGAGCACAGGTATTGTCAATATTATGTGTACCACTTGAAGCAACTGTCTGTTTTTAGTAACGGTAGCAGCAACAAACATTTCTGTAAGAATGAAATGTGTCTATCTGTAAACTTCACAGTGCTTAGGCAGATGATGCCCCTATTGGATGTCTAACTGTTCTGGCAGTTTTAATTAGCAAACAAGTATGTCTATCCATTCAGCCTGAGCCTTGCTTCCCTCTTGGGCATATTCACTAGCAGTTGGCAAGGTTATATTTCACCTTAACCAGAAAGAGAAGAAACTTATTTAAGTAGTGTTGGATGGATAAGTAGACAGCAGAAATACAAAGGGAAAGAGAGAGGGAGGGGGTTGAGAGTTTGCAAAAGGTAGGAAATAAAAGGGTATAGAAGATGGGGGAAGGAGAAATGATTGAAAGCAAGAGGAGTGCAAGGAGAAAGATTACGTCTATATCTCATAATAATTATTCATACATTTTACAGTCTATTTATGTCTTTGAGTATATCCAAGTCCAGTCATTTCTTCGTGTTTTATTCCCCCTATCATCTCTTCTGAAATAACATCAAGAGTAAGAATTTTATTCCTTCTTTATTTTCTCTTTTTCTTATTATCTTGATGCATACATTTGGCTTTTGGTAACAGCAGCTTCAACCTTGAATTAATAGAACAGGCATCAAAACTATTGCATTTAACCTGTCTTACTGATTCACACAGCTTAAAGAGCTTCTTCAAAATAGAATCTGAATGGGTAATAAATTGGTAATGTTAGCATATATATAACAGATGTGAAATGAGTCCATTGTTCACAATCAGACAAAAAGTAGCTAGGATCTTAATGATAATTAAATATAAGTATTTGTTAAGCATTTTCAAATACTTAACATTTGTTTATGGCACACACTTAAAATATTGATATTGAAATGTATTTGAAAAATACTTTTCTTTGTAGTAATCCTCCTTCCCCTCTACCACTGGATGTGACTCCTGGACAGAGTTGTCAAAACCAACCAGAATCTGCTTCCTCCAATTCAATGGATAAATATCATATACATGACAGTTCTGAGCCTAGTAGGCAAGGAGACTTGTCATCCTTGAAAAATGACTCTGAAAACTACCTTGAAGACTTTGAGCTGGTGAGTTATTTCCATTGTATTAAAATAATTCTATATTTACTCAAGTAAAATACAGATACACACAATGTCTTTTTAGTTGGGGAAAGACTGTCTTTTAGAGTAGCTTCATATCTGTGTCTAATGAATGTTTATATATCTGCTGTATAGCTGAGAAAACAGACAAAAAAACCTGGGTACAAATTACTTAATTTTTCTGAGATTTAGTGGCTTCAGCTATAAAATGGAGCTAGTATCCTCATAGGTTTGTGGTGAGGATTAAATGAAAGACCTAGGTAAGCATCTAGTACAGTGCCTGGTACAAAGTAAGACACTTAGTAAATATTATTTTTGCTTATTTCCCACATTCTAATGAGTTACTTATTATAATTTAATCAACTTTCAATGTAATTTTTTTTATCTTTCATACTTTTTTTGCATCCAAATAGAATCCTTTAATTTTAATAATAGCTCTAGTACTTCAAAACTTACATTTTTAGTTTTGAGACTAAATTTCCTAACATCGTATCCTTTACACTGATTGAAAGTAAGCCTTTTTCAGTATTGTTTTAATCATCCAAGTAGAATTTGCTGTAGAAAAATCAGAAAATAAGGAGAAAGAATATTAAAACCGCCTATAATCTCACCTCTCCAAAGCCATAAACATTTTGGCATTTCTCTTTGTAAATTTTATGTTTTCCTATAATTAGGTAGGGTTTGTGAGAGAGCATGTGTGTGATCTACAGTTTGAGTTTCATTCTCAGTAATAGAGGAACATAGACTTTGAATGATTTCCTTAGAAAATTTGTCAGTCTCTACATTTCAGTTGAAATCTTTAAAAAAAAAAAATTTTTTTTACACAAATAAATGAAGATGTGACATTTAACCACCCAAAAACTTCATATTTTTACAAAAACAGAACAATTCTCTTTTGTTGCTCTTAGCATCTATTTTGGTAGTTTAGAAATATATGAAGCATTTTCCTGAACCTTCCCTCCAAGAAAAGTATTCTTTAATCGTAAAGTATAACCATACTATGTCCTTATTTATCCTGAAAGTACAAGAGTGGAACCCTTAGTAAGTTCTGTCTCAGCTATCTCTAGGCAAACACAGGACATATTTAAACCCAGCTTCTATCTGGGGGACATTCTATCTAGAGTTGGACTGACTTGGCTTCTTCATTTGGGCAAGTTAATAAAGCTTTTAGTCCTCCGTTTCCTCCTCTGTTGATCAAAGGAAATAATAGTACTCTGCCTACTGTTTGTCTGTATGGCAAAATAGACAACCTGAAGGAATTACTGTTTTCTTCCCTTAGGAAGTAGAACTCCTCATTACCCTGATTAAATCCGAAAAAGGAAGCCTGGGTTTTACAGTAACCAAAGGCAATCAGAGTGTTGGTTGTTATGTCCATGATGTCATTCAGGATCCGGCTAAAAGTGATGGAAGGCTAAAACCAGGGGACCGCCTCATAAAGGTGAGACATTTAAAATTCTTTTTAAGTTTGAAAGTCCCTTTGATCTCAAAGCATAAAAGAAGCTGTCTCGAGTCTCAGTCACAGAAAGTTTCTGAAATTAGTAAGAGGATAAATTTCCTTTATTAGAAAAATAATATGTATTTGTTATGTATTTTACATTTTCATCCCATTGTGCTTATGAATTCCAGAGTAAGGGGTAACAATAAATGCAGACCACTCTTTATTTTGAATCTCTTACTGGCTAATATATACTATATAAAAAGTTAGGAAAATATTTTCTTGGCAACTTAGCTTCTCTGCCCCAAAAATTGTAGTCCTACTTTGGCCCTTTCTCATTTTTTAGGTTAATGATGCAGATGTTACAAACATGACTCACACAGATGCAGTGAACCTGCTTCGAGCTGCACCAAAGACAGTCCGATTAGTGCTCGGACGAGTTCTCGACTTACCCAGGATGCCAGTGTTGCCTCATTTGTTACCTGACATTGCATTAACATGCAACAAGGAGGAGTTGGGTAAAGCAATTTCAAGCCTTATACGGAATGATTTTCTTGGGTGGATTAAGAAAAGTACTCTTATGACTGAGGAAATAAAAATATTTTCTATTCTCCGAAGGTTTTTCCTTATCTGGAGGTCACAACACCATTCATCAAGTGATATATATTAATGATATCAACCCAAGGTCAGTTGCAGCCATTGAGGGTAATCTCCAGCTATTAGACATAATCCATTGTGTGAATGGAGTCAGCACACAAGGAATGACCTTGGAAGAAGTTAAGAGAGCATTAGACATGTCACTTCCTTCAGTGGTGCTGAAAGCAACAAGGTACTTTGCAACTATTTGTAGGGTGTGTGTGTGTGTGTGTGTGTGTAAGCGTAAGCACATGTGCCCATGCACTTTAGCTTGTTATTCTTATGTTCTCTTAAAAAATATTCCTGAGTTAGTTCATTCGCAGAGTATAGTGGCAAAGATTAGTAAAGTTAGAACAAATTTCCTGATAGACAGTTGATTCTCAAAGCACATTGAGTGGGTAAATGTTTGGATATATGCTTGCAGTTAATAGAGGGAGTACCACATTTACCAGTTAGAGTGTTTTGCCCTGGTGGCGCAGTGGTTAAGCACTCAGCTGCTAATTGAAAGATCAGCAGTTAGGGCCCTCCAGCCGTTCCAGGGGAGAAAGATGTGACACTCTGCTTCCATAAAGATTACAGCCTTGGAAACCCTATGAGGCAGTTCTCCTCTGCCCTTCTCTGCCCTGTGAGTCGGAATTGACAGCAATAGACAAACAGAAAATCCATTTCAAATTGGTTTGAACAAGAAAGGGAATTTGTTGCTTATATGACTGAAAAAATTCAGAGAGAGGTGGTCTTCAGGTGAAATTTGATCAGGGCTCTGGCTCCATTTCTTTGCTATTTTCAGTTCCTCCCTCTTCTGTATATCAGCTTCATCCTCAGGATGGCTTCCTTTATGATAGTCAAATGGCTGCATCAGTTTTCATGCCTCACACCTGCATGCACACCATCGAGAGCAATCTTCAAAGAAAAGAAAAATTCCACCAATCACAATTGTAAAGTGAGTACTATGTGCTGATTAGCTTAGGCGTAGATTATTGCCAATCCCTGAATTGAGGCAAAGAGATAAGAATATATTGATCAACCTAGGCCTATCACAGCCCATTCTCAGAGTTGGGACGTGGTCAGTCCTACCCCAGCCTCATGTCTACCAAGAATGATGGCTGAACTACCACATCCAGTATACCTCCTAACAGTTTCACCTTCTAAAAAATGCTAATAGCAACTTTTCTTTCACATATTGTGAAATAAATTGAGAAAATGTACATGAATTCAGGCTTTCTAGACTACAGAGTTACAATATATGAAGGGAAAAATTATATTTGTATCTGTGATACATGGTAAGTGTTATATAGTGTATCTTTAAAAATACAGAAATATATTAATTTAATCATTTGATAATAAATTTGTGTTCCTTCTGAACTTTTTAATTGTGTAATTTTTTCCTTGAATGTAATCTCTGACCTGATTCTTTATATATTTCTAAAAACTGGATTGACAGTTATTTTCCCAGATTCTTCTAAATAATTAGTGGGGGGGGGGAACTCTTCAAACAACCTGGAAAATATTTTTGTGAGAATCAGCATCTCTGCTACCCATAAGTCTAGCTGAATATTTTCCCTCAAAATCAGTAGAGCATCCTTCAACCTATCCCTGAAATCACTTTCTTATGTCTTTTTTTTATCTTAGCTGTATTCACTGAAGATTAATAGTAGTAACCACAATTACTTTCCCCTTCATTCTTCTTCCAGTGTTCTCTCCACTATTGTATATGTCTGCCCTCTTTAAGATCTACAGGGTAGCAAAAATGGAAGGGGTATATATTTGTGGTAATGATCTGTATATCAAGAACTGTGAAGGGTCTGAGATTTTACCTTATTTACAAGCTAATAAGTTAGCCTGGCAGAAAACATGAGACTCCTAGATCAGAGACAAAGGACTTTATTTCTAATGGCATGGCAAGCAGAATGAGCATGATGTTTATATTTGCTCCTCATGCCCCCCAAGTCCATAGAGGTGATGCGTGTGGGCCTAGTGGACACCTGCACATGCAGTGGGTTACGTTACAGGAGAGGAACACTGAGCCTGGGGAACCTGCCTCTGCATAGCAGCCTGTAAGAAGCCTGATTTTTCCATGGGGTAGGTTACTTCATCCCTCAAGGTTGAAGGAACACAACCTTGAAAAACGGCCTTGCATTCTTGGCCTACCTAGCAAGAACATACAGAGCTCTTGGCAAATTGCTTCTCCCAACATTGTACATCTTAGGCAACCTCCCTTTTCCAAGCATCAGCAACAATGAGAACCCAAAACGAAACCTGTAGCTGTTGAGTCAATTCTGACTCAAAGCAACCCTATGGACAGAGTAGAACTGCCCTATAGGGCTTCCAAAGAGTGGCTGGTGGATTGAACTGCCAACCTTTTGGTTAGCAGCTGAACTCTTTAACCACTTTGCTACCAGGGCTCCAGCAACAATGAGATTGCCTACTGATGAGTTTGCATACTAATTGTTTGTTTCTATAAGGACAAGGCTTTACATTACCGTATTTTTACAAAAATAACAGCTCCTTCTATGTTTGTCAGCCACACCCTCCCCTCAGAGGTATTTTCGTGTAAGGGTGCTATGCTAATTTTTCACAGCAACATGTGAAAAAAAATTGACATACCCTTGGAGGCATATTTCTTTTTTGACTGTTTCTCACTTTGGGTGATACTATTTGTATAATTCTTTGAATATAAATATTTTGTCTAGATGTTTACTTTAAATAATTTAAAAGAAAAACATGTATTGAGTACTTTAAGTATATAAATAACTCCTAAGTTATCTTTTAATTGAATTGTAATTAGATTATGAATATTACCAGTGTTTTAAGTGGGAGGGGAAAATATGGTGATGTGTTGAACTGAAACTCAAAGAAAGATTATGTAAAGAAGTGTTAAGAATATCTCCCTCTAGAAAATACACAGAAGATGACTCTTCGGAGTTTCGTCTACAGTTTCAGGGGGTGTCTGAACTTCCTGAGGCCCATCCAGAGTAAAACTCCTGAGGCTAAATAGTTAACAGTAGGTTCAAAGAATATTTACAACAAATATATTTTAAACATTGCCATTACGTTTTCTCTTTTTACAACACAGAGATGGACATCCAGTAGTCCCCACTGCAAAGAGGGCTGCCAGTTCAAGTCCAAAGCCAAGCAAGGCCAGTGGTAAGAATGCACTCATTTAGGACACAAGTAGTTATGTAGATGCAACTATCTTTTTCCCAGCGTCAAGTCTGGATACTGTCTCTAAAAGGTTTTTATTGTCCTTCCAGAATTTTTTACAGGATCTCTCTAAGTGAAAAAAATCTTTAAAATTCAGTGTATGATAGGAAATAGTCGAGCATGGAGTTTAGTATCCAATAAACCTGAGTTTATAAGTCCTTTGTGACCTTAGAAAGTGATTTGATCCATATACAAGTCCCTATTTCCTATCAGTAAAATAAGGATATTAAAAATAATGATAAGGATATAATAGTATCTACCTTGTAACATTATGAACCAAACCAAACCCATTGCCAAAGAGTCAATTCCAACTCATACAGACCCTACAGGACAAGAGTAGAACTGCCCCATAGGGTTTCCAAGCAGCAGCTGGTAGATTCAAACTGCCGACTGTTTTGTTAATTCAGCCAAACTCTTAACCTCTGTCCTGCCAGGGCTTCATGTAACATTATAGTGAGGCATAAATACAATAATACATAGGAAACACGCGTCACAGGGCTTATCACGTAATAATTAAACCAGACATTTACTGAATTTCTGCTCTGTGCCAGTCACTGTTCTGGGATATACCAACGCGCAAAAGCAAGTACCTCTCTGCCTTATATTCTAGCATAATAATAGAAATAATAATTTTTTTAGTTACAACAGTAGCAGCAAACATTAATTTAATGCTTATTCTGGACCAAGCATTCCTTTAAATGTTTTACTCCTGACAACAGTTCTGTGAGATATTATTACTATTATCCTCATTTTATAGAAAGGGAAACTGAGGCACAGACAAGAGAAGACTTAATAAATAGTAGAGCCAGAATTTAAGCCTAGGAAGCCTGACTTCATGCTCTCATTTGCATATTCAGGGTCAATAGATATGGTTTACGCTGCTAGTATTAATATAATAAGAATGTTACCATTTGCTGTGGGGTTGACCTCGTGTGACAGAGTAGAACTGTTCTCTGTAGAGTTTTCAGGTGCTGATTTTTCAAAAGTAGATCTCCAGGCCTTTCTTCTGAGGTGCCTCTGGGTGGACTGGAACCTCCAACCTTTCAGTTAGCAGCCAAGTGCTTTAACTATTTGCACCACCCAGGCACTCCAATAAGAATGTTAGGCACAGGGAAATGTGGTGGGACTTAGTGCTTTTGAAATGTAAATTCAGTACTTCCTACAAAACTAAATTTATGGTTTACCAAAAATAGTATCTAAATAAGAGCCCTGGTGGTGCAGTGGTTAAAGCACTTGGCTGCTAACCGAAAGGTCGGTGGTTCAAAACCACCAGTGGCACCTTGGGAGAAAGATGTGGCAGTCTGCTTCCATAGAGATACACAGCCTTGGAAACCTTATAGGGTGGCTATAAGTTGGAATCGACTTGACAGCAGTGGGTTTGGTTTTCTGGGGTGTCCAAATATCAACAGCTTAAAAAACCTTGCTATTACAGTTGTGTATTGTCTAAAAGCTAAAGCTTAGCTTACCTATTAACTCTCCTCTGTTGTTACCTTGAATGTCTTAGGGGTCCTTCTTACTGCTATCCAATAGTTCCAGTCTACTTTAGAGTCAGACTATCTCAGAACACTCGAGTAAGCATTTTTTCTAGTGGCCCCTGGGATGACTCCTTGTCATAAATTGAATTGTGTCCCCCAAAAATGTCTGTCAGCTTGGCTCGGTCATAATTCCCGGTATTGTAATGATTGTCAACCATTTTGTCATCTGATGTGATTTCCCTGTATTGTAAATTCTATCATTATGATGTAATGAGATGGATTAGTGACAGTTACATTGATGAGCTCTAAAAGATTAGTGTCTTAAGTCAATCTCTTTTGAAAGATAAAAGAGAGGAACAAACAGAGAGACAGGGGGACCTCATAGCACCAAGAAAACAGTGCCAGGAGCAGAGCACGTCCTTTGGACTTGAGGTTTCTGTGCTGAGATGCTCCCAGACCAAGAGAAGACTGATGCATCACAAGG